CAACGTTTTCCGCTTTCCTTCAAAATTTATATGTTCTCATAAAAAAAATTCGCATATTTCGATAAAATTAAGAAAAAGGAAAAATTGAACGTGGCCTTGTTTAGTGAGGCCAGCTCAACTATCCCACAAATAAAAATAATACGGCCTTCATTGAGCTACAATTTTCGCTGCATCTTGCCAGATGTGTCCATAACGAGGGGATATTTTTGTGCTATTTTATTTTTAAAATTTTATTAAATGTTGTGTTTTAGTCTTTTAGATGACATAGCAATAGCAATAGTTGCAGTCTATGTGCCTGTATGGGAGGATTTAAAAAATCTGTATAAACACGTTTTACATAAATTGAGATAAAACTTTTCTTACATCTTATCTCGTATTCCGTAAATTATTATTGATAAGCTACTTATAAGCTGTTCTAAACGGGCCTATTATATTCAGGATTTGTTTCCACCATCTTTTTTGTTTTATTTTTTGTTCACTTGATTTTTCTTTTTCAAGCCTAGCTCACCTCTTGTAACCCAAAAAAGAAGAATTTGTTTCCACTGTGTTCTTTACAATTTTTTTTTCATATATTTTGTTGGTTTTTATGCCTTTTTTGTGAAAACTTTGTTATTATTATGTTAATATTTCTCCACAATTTTAATATTCTTAATATTTAAAATTTGAATATTTTATTATCATATGTTTCCAATGATAATTGCCCAATGGAGACATAAACATACGCATGTCTTTTCATGCACGGTTCAAGATATCTTGAAATGATTGAACGAGGCCTTGAGATGGCGGATCTAACAAAACAAAAACCCAATTGACTGAGGACAATTTTGGTTTTTCATAGCTTTCCTTTCCAGCGACCCTCCCAGCCATTATCACTATTCGCTACTCTATTTTCCGCGATCACTGGCATTTGTATGAGGGGGTGTTTGAATAAAATCAAATCATGATTTGAAAAATAACTTTTAAAAAATAAATTTTGGAGAGAATAGATTTTGTGAAATGATAGGATAACAACTATTGTTGGGTTAATACTTGTAATTAAGTTATAACCAATTGTATTCAATTGTGTAGTTAGCATTCTATTATGTAGATAGGTACTCTACTTATGTATATAAACAGATTCTCATTAATGAAATATTCAAGATATTGATTTCCATTTTGCCTAGTCACATGGTATTAGAACCTAACCTTTTCCCGTTGATTTTTTTTCTCTCTTTTCCTCCTCTTTCTGTTTCCTTTCTTACCCTCTTCTTTGATCTTTCTTTTCCCTTCCTGTCCTTTACCCTAGTCGACCTTCTTTCTCTCTCTCGTCTGAACACCCATGGCCGTCGAATCCACCACAGATCAAAGTAGCCCTTATTACATTCATCCAAGCGAGAACCCCGCCTTGATTCTAGTCGCACCACCGTTAGACGGTTCGAATTATCACAGTTGGCTTAAAACAAGCAAGCAGACAATGGTACTCTAAATTGTGTCTTGCTTTGCTTTCTTATGGTTACAAACAATCTGCCTCTGATCATTCTTTATTTTTCAAAGCCAATTCCTCTTCTTTTATTGCACTTTTGTTGTATGTTGATGATGTGGTTCTTACTGGTAATGATCTAACTGAGATCAATCTTGTTGAACAACAATTAGATGCATCATTTACCATTAAGGATCTTAGTGACCTTTGGTGTTTTCTTGGGTTAGAGCTTGCTAGAACTAAGCAAGGTATTTTTTTATCTCAACGGAAGTTTGCCTTAGAGTTGCTTGAAGATGCTGGTTATTTGGCCTATAAAGCAGCATCCACCCTAATGGATCCTCACCTCAGGCTTTCTAAAGATAAGGGTCAACCACTTTCAGATCCACAGCTTTATAGGAAACTCATTGGGAGACTCCAATACCTCACTACCACTCGGCCTGATCCTAGTTTTGCTACTCAACAGTTGAGTCAATTTATGTCTGATCCACGAGACATTCACTTACAAGCAGCACATCGTGTCTTGACATATCTAAAATCTTCTCCTGCTGCTAGCCTTTTTCTCTCTTTGACATCTGATTTGAAGTCAAGAAGCTTTGGTGATTCTGATTGGACAAGTTGTATAGATACAAGGCGTTCTGTAACTGGTTTTGCTGTGTTCATTGGTTCTTCTTTGATATCTTGGAAAGCAAAGAAACAATCAACAGTGTCTCGGTCTTCCTCTGAAGCTGAATATAGAGCCCTAGCTTCTACTACTTGTGAATTACAATGGCTTATATATCTTCTCAATGATTTTGATCTATCTCATATTGATCTAGCACTACTCTATTATGATAATCAGTCTGCCATTCAAATTGCAGCAAATCCCACTTTCCATGAAAGAACAAAACACATAAAACTGGATTGCCACTTAATCAGAGAAAAGTTACAAGCCAAGATCATTCATTTTCTTTTTGTTAGCTCTTCAGACCAATTAGCAGACATGTTTATAAAACCACTTCATCCTACAAGGTTCCATGATCTTATTTCCAAGCTGGGCATGAAAAATATCCATGCTCGAGCTTTAGGGGGGTGATAGGATAACAACTATTGTTAGGTTAATACTTGTAATTAAGTTATAACCAATTGTATTCAGTTGTGTAGTTAGCATTTGTTATGTAGATAAGTACTCTACTTATGTATATAAACAGATTCTCATTAACGAAATATTCAGGATATTGATTTCCATTTTGCCTAGTCACATGAAGAATAGATTTTGTGAAAAAGTGATTCTGAGAAGTGAAAGTGTTTGAATAGTTGTTATCAGAAGCATTTTTATATATACGAATTATTAAAAAAGGCATAAGTTAATATAATAATTACATAAAAATTAGATTTTATGATATATTTTAATTTGAAAGAATAAAATTGTTAATAATATATTTTTATCAACATAATTAATAATACATAAGATAATATAATTAATAAATAATTAATATGTGTATATATATTTATAAGATATAAGATTAAATACGTTTATAAAAAAATAATTGAGGGGTTTTAAAGTCATATTATTGTTAAGATCTACTCTCAGGCTCTCCCTCGTACTGCGTCTGAAACAATGATAAAGAGATGAATAATTGAAAAGGGTATATCCGTCTGGGCAAAAAAAAAATAACAAGGTATATATCCTATAAGCTCTCACACTCTCCTTCTTTTTTTTCCCAAAAACAGGAAATTTTACTTCTACCAAAGTCCCAAACACCCCTTGAGATTCTCATTTTTTAATGCCCATCTCAAATTCAAACATTGCAATGAAAGCGGGAAGCTGAGGACCGTTGTCGTTAATCATAGACAAATAGCCTCTTGATAGTCTATTTTCGCTCTCATACTTCCTTCACTTCGATGCCTTCCAAAATCAGAAAATTTTTATTTCTACCAAAACCATTATTTTGGTTTTTTTATGATATTTGGGTGATTTTTTCTAAAACTATGGTTTGACTCATCACTTAAAAGGGGAGCTTGGCAGGTTAAAAACACTTTTAAAATCATAGTTTATTTTTTATCCAAACACCACAAAAGTCCCAAACCGCCTTGAGATTCTCATTTTTCAATGCCCAGCTCAAATTCAAATATTGCAATGAAAGCGGAAAGCTGAGGGCCGTTGTCGTTGATCATAGAGAAATAGCCTCTTGATGGTCCATTTTCCCTCTCATACTTTCTTCACTTGGATACCTTGCCTTCGATACCTTCCCTTCTATTCATCGCTTCGAATATGGCTGGCAAAAGTGGCAAGAAACCATTGAGCCTCAACGATAGCCATTATCGATTCCTCCAAGACCTCTCTGCTCCTCCGAAGCCCTCCTCAAAGCCATCTGGTACCCTTTTTTTCATCTCTATCATAGTCTGCTATATTTTTATGGGGTGAACTATAGTTTGCTTGATTAATTTTTTCTTCGGTTTCGCAGACGGCGACGACGAGTCGTCCCCGACAACACTCAAAGGCCGAAGGCGGCAACAGGGACAAGATTTATTTAGGGACGAGGAAGATGATAACATCCCTCGATTTTCTGCAATTACCGACTTTGATTCTCCGATTGGTATTCCTCCACGCCTCTGTTATGGATGCTTTTTTGTTTTTTTTTCAACTCGATGTTTATGTAATGCGATTATCGTCTAATAGAGCTACGCTCAGCGGAAGACAAAAAGCCTGTCCAGGTAGACGGTCGACCTCGCCTCTCTACAGTCTCGCCGAAGGAAAACAGTAAAGATCAAGGTGACAATATTCCCCAGTCTAAAGAAGCGACCGACTTGAATATCCACAGTAAGCACGCTTTGTTTATTTTTCATCCCCCCCCCCCCCGGGGGGGCAATATTCATGTACGTCACAAGAAACTGAAGTGACTCGTGTGAATTTCAGGAGGGGAAAATAAGACGAAGGTCAAAATGGAAGGCCGGCGTCGCCTATGCAAGGTGTCATATGCAGACAGTGATAATGCTGATAAAATGGCGGCGCTTGATGACTCGGAGGTTTCTGACCTTGTGGATTTTGATTCACCCCCTTTACCGACAAAAAATGCAACGGGTGTTGAGAAGAGTCAGGGCAGGAGTGAAATTAGGGATATATTAGATGAGTTGAGCTCGAGGTTTGATATTCTGTCAGTAGATAAGAAGCGGGGAGCGAAATCAGCGCATACATTTGAAAATTGTTCATCATTGGTTATAGGAAATGAAAATACGGAAGATAAGAATATTGATTATGCCAGTGCAGATTCTTCATTTTCAGCTCAGCAGGACCCATGCGACAGTTCATCCGATGCATCTAAGAGTGCTACTGGAGGCATTGACATTGAACATGTAGAAGATGATTTGGACTACTCTATTGAAGTGCTGGATCATTTTGACTCTGAGAATGTTAATTCTATAACTTTTGATGGTCCCCATTTCACACACGAGTTACCAGATTCTTCATTTTCAGCTCAGCAGGACCCATGTGACAGTTCATCCGATGCATCTAAGAGTGCTACTGGAGGCATTGACATTGAACATGTAGAAGATGATTTGGAAGACTCTATTGAAGTGCTGGATCATTTTGACTCTGAGAATGCTAATTCTATAACTTTTAATGGTCCCCATTTCACATACGAGTTACCAGGAAAAATTGCCAAAATGTTGTATCCACATCAGCGTGATGGCTTGAAGTGGCTTTGGTGTCTGCATTGTCAGGGTAAGGGTGGAATCCTGGGGGATGACATGGGTCTAGGGAAAACAATGCAGGTAAGTAATGAACAGCGGGCAATTGTTTTGCAATATCTGTAGTACATAGCATATGAATATCGGGTTCCTCTTGCAGATTTGTAGTTTTCTAGCTGGTTTATTCAATTCACGTTTGATTAAAAGGGCATTGGTGGTGGCACCCAAAACCTTACTTCCCCATTGGATCAAAGAATTATCTATTGTCGGTCTTTCTGAGAAGACAAGGGAGTGCGTCTGATTCTATTTATTTATTTAAATTTATATACTTGCACAGGCACATTTATGTTTCTGATATTGCAAATTCACCAACTTGTATTTGCTGCAGATACTTTGGAACTTGTACTAAGGCCCGAGAGTATGAACTTCAATACATACTCCAGGTACTGGTTATAGCTTATTCTACTTATTCAACTGCAAGTTATAATATACAGCAAATTAAATCTATACTCCTGCATTACGAGTTTTAATAGGTAGGAGAAGGAAAGGAAACGTTTTATTTGTCAAGATGAGCTTCATATTTGGAAATTGTGGATGTTTGTGGTCGCAATGTATTTTCAAAGATTCGTTGTGGTTCTTATGTAGTAGTTTGAACTTTACTGTTTTTATTTGATTCTGGAAAATCTTATTCATGTTAATGTACAATATTATACTACTACTATTATTTTACAAATTTGATGCCACCAGTCTCGTTTTGCTATCCATATAGGATAAAGGTGTTCTTCTTACAACATACGATATTGTTCGCAATAATTCTAAATCATTACGGGGGAATTATCTATCTGATGATGAGGAAAATGAAGACGTCCCATATGGGATTATATGATACTTGATGAGGTAAGAATGATTTTGAGGCCCATCTAATGTCTAGTTTTCATAATTTAGGTTTGACTTTTATTATGCATCATTTGCATCCTCTTTTCGAGTACATGGTTCTATTTATCCCTAGACACGCGTTTGAATGTTTCGTGTGAGTATTTAATTCTGGATTTAAGTAGGTTATCTCTCATTTTGTAATGAAATGAGGTAAACTTAGGTTTCTTTTGGGCAAAAAGTTGTCATAAGAATTTTACTTTTTGCATATAAGGTATAGAAGGCTCAGTTTGTGGTGGTTACCGTCTGCCTTAAAGTCCGCCGTCTATTTTCTTTAACTCTAAATTTTAGCAAATATAAATTTGCAGATTGCACGTATCTGATAGAGCCCTCAACTCTAATAAGCTTATAACAAGCAAAATCTAGAAATGACAACGAGCAACATGGGACTGTTAATATTTTTACTGAATATTGTAAGTTGAATTTCACGGGAAATAATGATTCAAACCAATCCCATCTCCCTCATACACCCATAGACAGACATCACAATCAAACAACAGTTACAGAGTACAAGGAAAAGCCACTAAACTTTCAAGAGGCCAGTACTCTCCCAATCTCACTTCACTAACCAAAAGGCTGAACTCGCTCCTCTCTGTCTGAAAGCGGGGATATAAAACAGGAGTTACAGCACACTGCTTACACTCTGGCTGCACCTAAAACCTGCTTATTAACCCCTTCTTTACCCTCACGGCCTGTAGCCTCAGTGTAATCCTCTTGACTGCTGATATTTCCCTTTCTCACATCATTTCCCTTAATCTTCTGCTGTAGGTCCTGGGAAATGATTTATAAATCTTTTGTGAATCTCCAGCTCTATCAGTATCATAAATAATTTAAGGCTTAAATTTTTGTTGATCAAATTGCTTTGATCCTTAGGGCCATCTTATAAAGAATCCCAGCACACAAAGAGCTAAAAGTTTGCTACAGATACCAAGTGCCCATCGCATAATCATCAGTGGCACGCCATTGCAAAATAATCTTAAGGTATTTCTTGAAGATTAGTTTTGTTTTCTAATTGATGTGTTTGAATATAGTATCTGTTTTTGGTTCTTGTGATTTTACTGTATACTATGCTAACCTGTTGTGTGATTCTCATTCTTAAACTTTCAAACAGGAGCTGTGGGCCTTGTTCATTTCTGCTGCCCTGAGTTGCTGGGTGATAAGCAATGGTATTAATCTTTTTCATGCTGCATTATGATGCTACTAACTTTCTCATTGTCATTGGTTTAACTTGAA